AATTTATAAATATGTGCCCAAAATATTATTATTTAACTAGAGGCCCAGTGCATGAAATTTGTGCACGGGGTGGAGGGTGTCCCTCAGCCCAGCCTGCACCCTCTCCAATCTGAGACCCCTCAAGAGATGTTCGACTGCCCGTTTAGACCCGATCCCTGATGGAATCCGGTCTAAACAGGCAGTTGGATATCCCTCTCACAACCCAGGACTGCTGGTTCCCAACTGCTCGCCCACCTGCCTTCCTGATTGCCCCTAATTGCTTCTGCCTGCCAGCCTGATCACCCCCTAACCACTACCATGCCAGACTGATTGATGTATAACTGCTCCCCTGCCAGACTATTTGCTCCCAAATTTCATCCTCTGCTGACCTGGTCACCCCTAACTGCCCTCCCCTGCAGGGTTGATCACCTCCAACTGCCCTCTCTTGCAGGCCTGGTGCCTCCCAAGTGCCCTCCCTTGCAGGCTTGGTGTCTCCAACTGCCCTCCCCTGCTGGCCATCTTGTGGTGGCCATCTTGTGTCCACATGGGGGCAGGATCTTTGACCACATGGGGCAGCCATCTTGTGTGTTGGAGTGATGGACAATCTGCATCTTACCCTTTTATTAGATAGGATAGAGGCCTGGTGCATGGGTGGGGCCAGCTGGTTTGCCCTGAAGGGTGTCCTGGATCAGGGTGGGGGTTCCCTTGGGGTGTGGGGCTGCCTGGGTGAGGGGCCTGTGGTGGTTTGCAGGCCAGCCATGCTCCCTGGCAACCCAAGCAAAGGCCCTGATATCTGGAATTTATTTACCTTCTACAATTGAAACTTTGTAGCCTGGAGCAGAGCCAAGCCTCCTGCTCACTCTGGCTGCTGCCATTTCTGTTTGGTCTTATGTATTTTCTATAATTGAAACTTTGTAGCCTGGAGTGGAGGCCTAGGCCAGCTAGGGTAGGTGGAAAGCTTGGCTTCGTCTGTTTCCGGGGGCAATCCTAGCCTGTTTTCTCCAGCTCCATGGCTGCGGCCATTTTTCTTGGGATTTTATCTTCTATAATTGAAACTTTGTATCCTTGAGTGGAGAGAGGAGCTAAGGAGGACATAGTAGAAGCAGGCAGAGGAAAGAGGTTGGAAGAGCTGGGTGATGGGCTGAGGCTCTGCTCCATAGCAAGGATAGTGTCCTCGCCGGGCAGCACCCTGAGGTAATGGTGAACGTTGAGGGATGATAAGACTGACTGGTGTCCTGTGCCCAGACCAGGTGGGAATTGGAGATGCCTGCCCTCGGAGGTTCAGTCAACAAGCCTATGTGAGATAGAGGGGACTGAAGACCATAGGGCTCCTCTGTGTTCTGGGGTGAGAGTAAAATGACTCAGTACATTGAATTTTCCTCTTGGCATCCAGTGGCTCAAAGCATATTACACTTTATTTTGAAAAAATTAAAGGGAAAAAAAAGAAGAATTGATTTCCTATAGTCAGGATATATGAGTGCCAAAATCCACAACTGCTTCCACTGCCTTCCATATTTTGTGTTTCAGAATTAAAGCTTTTTCAAGACCTTCTCATTTTCAGAAAGTTTTGCAAATTCCAGGTAGCATATGTCATGTGTGCCCTTGAGTCCCAGATTCTGGCTGCTCTCTACAGCTGTATCCACACAGGCTTCAGTGAGGCCCTGGTTGGGGGCAGCACCTCTCCTTCACCCTGGCCAGGCCTGCCATGGGCTCCTCCTGCATGACTCAATCTGGGGGATGCCAGGGGGTTTGCAGAGAGCTGTGTGATGATTTCCAACATATGCTGTGTGTGCCCAGAGGCAGCCATAGTGAGGAGCCCACTCCTGTGCATGACCAGCAGGCCTCAGAGACTATGAATGGATAGCCAAGGGCACCTTGGTCTCTTGTCTTGACAACAAAAGAAGAGAGATGCCTGGAGGGAGCTGGGAAGTAGCCCCCCATCCCAGGTTAGAGAGGCAGGCATTGTTACCTCAATCAGTCTGGAATCAGCAGAGCAAGCAGGACCCTCCCTTAGCTGGGTGTTGGGCATGGCCTGTAGGCTAGTGTGGATGCCATAGGATTGGGCCGAGAGACTGAAAGACTTTAATTGGGGGGGGGGGGGGGGGGGATTGGAGTGGTGGGGGGATTGGGAGGGGGGGAGAAAAGGAGGGGTAGGGGAAGGAGTCGGGGAGAGGGGAAGGTGGGGAGGGTCGCACTGGGCCCTGGGCTTCCTTCCCATCGAGAGTGAGAGTCAAACTTTGTTTTCATGAAATCTACAAATATCTTCACAATCTCCCATCCCTGGCCAAACAGCGTATTAACATGCTCTCTTAAAAGTCAGTCTGATGGAGTAAGGGCTCCTCACCTAAAAGCCAGGAAGAATGTCAGGCCAGTTCTACCATTCATACTGTGGTTCTGAGATGCTTCCTTGACATAGGCCTAAATAGCTTTTCAAACAAGGCAGGATTTTTGTAGAGTCAGGGCAACGCAGAGGGCTCTACGCTGAGGATGCTGCTGCCCTGGGTAGCAGGCAGCTATGAGCATCTGGGGCTGGGGGAGAGGGAGCTCATCTGGAGCAGAACAGCAATGGGATCTGGGTCCCAGCTGTCCCCTAAACTGGCTCAGTCCACTCAGCCACTCCTTCCCCTGCTAGGTCCAGTCTGGTTTGACATCTAATGCCCCACTTCAGGCCGCTGTCTGCAGTGATGCCCCAGACCCTCCCAGGCTGCTTTGAGTCCAGCAGTCTACCTCTCCTGCCTTCACACAGGCTGGGCTTTGCTTGTTACCTCTCCCTCCCCTTCCATTTCCCACCTTCTCTAATAGAGCAGCACTGGAGCTCAAGGAGCCAAGCCCCTCAGGACATAGATGGGGAGACTGAGGCCCAATTGAAGACAGAGTTAGCACCACAGCCAGGTCCCCCGCCTCTTGCATAGCCCCTCTGTGTCCTTCACCCACCCTCACTCCAATTATTAGAACTTAATAAATTCTGTGGCCGACCAGAGATAGGCTGATGGAGGTTCATCTCCTCTACCAGTGTTGCTCACAGCAGTGTCTGAGAGGCGGTGAGCCTCTCAGCTCCAGGGCTGAGCAAGCTGAGGAGGAGGGCTTGAGGCAGGTGACTGAGAGGCCCTTTGCAGCCCAGATGGATTCTCACACATCAGGATACAGGGAGGAGGTTCTGGCTGAGGAATGGAGATGACTTGCTCACCATGCCATTCTCACTTTCTTGGAAAGCCTTGTGTGGTGCTGAGTGACAAGTTCAAGTGGGCACACAGGCACTGCCAGGGACCAAGAGGGACCCTGGTTGGTGCCAAGGCCCTCAACAACCAGCAAATTTTCTTAAAAATCCACTTTCAAGAAATAACCCTTTCTCAGTTCAGCTAGGGAAGCTGGTCCTGCTCCTCCTCCCCTCCTCCTCTTCCTGCAAGCCCTCTAGCCTGTCCAGAGCCCCCGGGAGCACTGTGTATCCCCAGGAGCCTTTCTTGAGCATTGGCTGAGTCTGTAGCCTCAAACAGGCTCCCATTTTGGGCTTCCATGATGACCTGGGAATTGGGGACTTTTAACTCCACCTCAAGGTCCTCTGATAGTCAGGGACAGGGTGATCCTTGCCTGAGTTCTCCTTTGCTCACTCTTGGGGGGCATCTAGAATGGAGAGGGGTGGGGCTGGAATCAAGACAGCTTCTTTGATGCATACTTGGGTAAGGGGTACACAGCAGGACGATGACCATTGGATGACGGGCTTTCACCTTCTCTCTTCAGGCCTCTTGGCCCAGCCCTGGATGGAGGGTGGCAGGGTGAAGTGCCCTCTGAGCTGATCCTAGAAAGCCTTAGTGAGGGAATGTGGAAAGGGCTGGGGCCATGCTCCACTCCATTCTGTGTCTGGGATGGGAGTGGCCCAAGGACTCAGGGGGCTGGGGCCAAGACTCTTCTGGCAGCTCAGCATGGCTCCAAGAAGCCTTTCCTCCTCACCTCATTGGAAGACCTAGTTACTGCCAGGGACCCTGAGTTATAAATTGCATGAGAGCCAAAAGAGGGGTTACTTTCTCCTTTGGGATGAATTCTGCTAGGAGAAAGAGGATGCAAACAGGTGGCGGTCCACAGTGACCTGGAGGGCTAGGTGCAGCCCTCTGCAGCTCACCTAGCACTGTTCCTGTGGCTGCAGCACACTGGCTCTCCATTTCATCATGTGAGCCTGGCAGGAGTGCTCCCACTTGATGCTGAGGAAACCAAGGCCCAAGGTGTAGCATGACTTGCCCAGAGTCACAGAGCCAGTGAGCAGGAGGAGGCCCCTGGACCAAGCCCTGCTTCTTGGATGTCTCTGGCCTTTTTTTCACTAGTTTATCCCCTGGGTAGGCAGGGAGCTGGCAGGGGCAGGTGGGTGCAGAGGTATCCTAAGGGCTGTGGGAAGGGAAGGGAGAGGAGAGGCCACTCTCCTGCTTCTTTCTGCCATGACTCAGTGTCCAGGACCTCAGGAAGACCACAGACGAAGCTGGAGAGGAAAGGCTGCAGCAGTCAAGGGCTTCCCTGCATCTCTGCCTTCTGCCTCCATCAGCCTCTGCCCACCATACCCTTGTTCCTTCTCTTCCCTGGGAGATCCCTTCCCATGTGAAGACTCCACCTTCACCCCCAGGTGTTGTCTCACTAGGTGTGCTCTCAACTCTATTCCTGTGAACTCTAAGAGCAGGAATTGTGTCTGATTCTCCAGTGTGTACTCTAAGCACAGACCCAGCTTTCAGTAGGTGCTCAACATGTGAGTAAGTAGCCGGTAGAATGAGGCAGGGGGCAGGTGGGGAAGGAGTGGGATACTGAGCAGAGACCCCTCTCCCAGGGGAATCCTCTTCCTACACAGAACGTGGTTTGGGATGAACCGATGCAAGTTTCCAGAGTGGGCCTGATGCCCTCTTGGTCAAGCTGTAGTCCTGGTGGGTAGTGGCTGCTCTTTCTGAATTCTGCTAGGAGAAAGAGGAAGTCTCATGTTGTCCCCTGAGCCCACCCTAGCCTTCTTTGGCCAGCCCCGCGGCAGGCACATGAGGAGCCACCGAGTAAAAAAACCTTGTTTTATTCAGCCCAGGTCTGGGCAATCTTCCTCTGTGTATGGTCAAAATATAAAAAATAAAAACCAACAACCAACAAAATAATGTTGTAGTGAAAACTTAAGTATGAAATTGGGCCTGGCACCCGGAATCCCTGTGGTTTTGGTCCAGGTTCACTCCCTGAGGCTGGTAGAGAGAGGTGCCCCTGTGTTCAGCTGCCCCTTCCTGTGGTGGGTGGGGTTGTATCCCTTGGACCAGGTGTGTCCTGGAGGGAGGCTGCCTGGTAATCAGGACCTGCTCTGGGAAGCGGGGAGGTTGGCAGTTGTCCACCTTCTCGAAGATCAGGATCTAAGGAGAGAAAGAGAGGCAGGTTTCTGGGTAAGGCCTCTCACTCCACTGTTGGCAAGACCCCCAACTGCCTCCCCTGCCCAAAGACTTCCCTCCACAACCCAGATCTCACATGGGAGAGCAGGCACAGGCTTTGTTCCTCTCAGTAATCTGGGCTTGGGGAGGGAGGCCCCTCAGTCCAGGTCCAAGAAGAGTTTCATGGACTCCCGCCCAGAACAGGGTCTCAACAACACTCTTTCCAGTGCCCTAGCCCAGCAGTGGGCAAACTCATTAGTCAACAGAGCCAAATATCAACTGTACAACGACTGAAATTTCTTTTGAGAGCCAAAATTTTTAAACTTAAACTTCTAAAGCCACTTCTTCAAAACAGACTCGTCCAGGCTGAAAACTGATTTCTGCGCATGGGCCACGAAGTTTCAATCACACTGTACCTGCGCGCCTGCATGTGGTATTTTGTGGAAGAGCCACACTCAAGGGGCCAAAGAGCCACATGTGGTTGCAGAGGAAAGGGCAAAAAAAGGGAAGAGAAAAATAGCAGGGGGATGGAGGGAGGGAGGGAGGGAGTGAGCGGAGAGAGATAGAACGGAAGGAAGGAAGGGAGTAAGGAAGGAGGAACGGAAGGAAGGACGGAAGGATGGAAGGAAGATAGATCAGGAGCGAGAGCGCGATGATATATGCACATATAGAGCGGAGGTCAGCTCTATACTGCGTTAGATCCTAGATTACTTCCTCTATCATGCTCTCTCTTTCCTTTTCCTTCCTTCTTCTTCCTTCCTTCCTTCCTCCCTCCCTCCCTCCCTCCCTCCTTTTCTTTATCTCTCTCTCTCCCTCCCTCCCTCCCTCCCTCCCTCCTTTCCTCCTTCCCTTCTTTTCTTCTTTCCTTGAGAAATATGTTTTTATTGACTTTTTTAGAGAAAGGGGAAGGAAGAGTGATAGAGAGATAGAAACATTGAGGAGAGAGAAACATCACTGATTGGCTGCTTCCTGCACACCCTCCACAGGGGATCAAGCCCACAACCTGGGCATATGCCCTGATGGGAATTGATCCCTGACCCTGCTGGTTCATAGGTTGATGCTCAACCACTGAGCCATGCTGGCTGGGCCCAGACTGTTTTCTAGGCAGAGAAATACCAGAAATACTTTCTTTCTAACTAAATAAATATTTTTTAAGCCTTTTTTCCTCTTCAGAAACAAGATTGAAACCCATAGGTGAGAAGGCTCCTGGGCCAGTAGCTCGCAGAGGTTAGTGTCACAGAAACACTCTGACAAGACCGGAGCCTCTCCAAGCATTTATGTGAAGGGCTCAGGGGGAAGGGCCTGCAGGCCCAGGGGAGCAGGGGAGCCAGAGTTTATCAACTCAGTGTGGGGGTTCAGAGATTGATGATGGTTCATTCCAACCAGAATCACTTCTAACCTGGGACTGTTTAATTCAATCTACTTGATAAGGACACTAATGATCAATTACCATTCGTTAAGTGCTACTGTGAAAGGTTCTCAAACACACACAGACATAAGGCCTTTAAATATTCCTTAGAAGCCCACGTGGGATATAAAAAATGGCTATTTTTTTTCCTAGTTGAAGAAGTAGCTCAGAGAGGTGAGGTGAACTGTTCAACGTCACAGAGCCAGGAAGTCACAGAAGTGGGATTGCAGTGCCTGTGCATGTTTTCCCAACAAAGCTGCCTCCTGCTGGTTCCCACTTGAGAAATCTTAGAGAGCCACACTGCAGATCAACTCAGCACTCAGCTTGGGGCTGGCACAGACAAGGTTCTCCTGTTCATCCTGTGAGCTGGGCCCAATTGCAGCTGTGTTTGGCCATCAAGGTGATTCAAATCACCTTGTATTTTGTGTGTTTTGTGTAGCCAGCCTGCTCCTCAGGCAGGAAAGGGGCTGGGGCAGGGTGGGCTGGGGAAGCACTTACTGGACAATCTTGCAGTTTGTCGTAGAAACATAGCGACCTGTATAGTGGATGTTGCATCTCACCACATTGTTGGTGAAGTCAGACTCCAAAACAATGTACTTAGGGTTCACGTGCACCTGGAGTGAACAGAGAAAAGGTCAGGGGGCTGTGCTTCACTTGGTCATCAGGGAAGGTGCTGGATAGGCAGGCAAGCAGACACACACACACACACACACACACACACACACACACGGAACAAAGAGAGGAAGACAGGGAAGTGGAGACACAGAAACAGAGATATACTGATGGAGGGACATGGGGAGATGCAGAGAAACAGAGGGAGGAGAGAAGAGACAGTCATAGTCAAAGAACATATCAGACCACCCTTCTCAGAAGACTAGAGGCCTGGTGCATGAAATTTGTGCACAGAAAGGGGTGTCCCTCAGCCCAGCTTGCACCATCTTCAATCTGGGACCTCTCAAGGGATGTCCGACTGCCCACTGGGATTGGGCCTAAACGGGCAGTTGGACATCCCTCTTACAATCCAGGACTACTGGCTCCCAACTGCTCACTTGCCTGCTTTACTGATTGCCCCAACCACTTCTGCCTGCCAGCCTAATCACCCCCTAAACACTCCCCTACCAGCCTGATTGATACCTAACTGCTCTTCTGCCAGCCTGTTTGCCCCTAACTGCCTTCCCCTGCAGGCCTGGTCACCCCTAACTGCCCTCTCCTGCAGGCCTGGTCACCCCTAACTGCCCTCTCCTGGTCCCCCCCAACTATTCTTCCCTACAGGCTTGATCACCCCCAACTGCCCTCCCTTGCAGGCCTGGTCCCTCCCAACTCCCCTCCCCTGAAGGCCAGCTTGTGGTGGCCATCTTGTGTTCACATGGGGGCAGGATCTTTGACCACATGGGGGCAGCCATCTTGTGTATTAGAGTGATGGTCAATTTGCATATTACTCTTTTATTAGATAAAATGGGAAGCTTCCCCAGAGCCACAGCTCAGGCTTGGTGGGCCCCACAGTGCAGCATGGGGCATTCGGGGTCAGAGAGGTTGAGTCACTGCCATGGGGTACACAGCAGGGAGTGAGGGGCCAAGCAGGGATCCCATGCCTGATCTCCTGACTCTGAGACTCTCAGCCTTTCACCACACATGCCTGTCTATATGACCCATTGAAGACTTGTCAAATGCCAGGTGGCATCCCCTGCCCTGGAGCCCAAGGTTCCCTACACTCACTGAGATGATGGCCCAAGCATAACCTGCACTTTTTTCCTGAAGAGCTGTCCAGACACAAGGAAGCCTTTCAAATGTTGGGTTATTGTGGGGTGGGGTGGTTCCCTGGGGTAGGCTGCATCCAGCAAATACAGCATAACATTTAAGTCAGGTGGAAAGATATTACTTTTAACTCCTTATACATTCCTTAAGGGTGGGAACTGTGCATTGCTTATGGTTGAATTCCCAGCTCCCAAAATTCCTGGGGCCTTTGCACATGTTTAATGAATGGATGAAGGAAGGACAGAATGCCCTTGAAAACCCTGGCCCTTGGTGAGGTCAAGAGAGGCCCATGGAGACTCCTGAGAGGCGCTTAGGATGGGCTGCCCCTGGCAGCCACCTTCATTCAAGTTAAGCTGTCTCCCAAGCCCATCTTCATTGCTCCTCCTTCTATGAACAGTGGGTTCGGGGGACCTGGCACAATGACCCCCACCCTCACTTCACACCTGTGCGAAGGGAGGCTGAGATTTGCCTTCCCCAGGTGAGGTCTTGAGGCTTAGTCCTGCACAGCCTGCGCAGGGATATACCATATTGGGCAGTGTGTCCTCAATGTGCTTTTCTACCTGTCCCCCAAGGAAGGGGCACTGGAGCAAGTGAGCATTGGAGGTGGAGTTTAGGCTGGAAGGACTCAGTCACTGGAGAGCCTCAGGCTTTGCAGGGTCACTGTGAAGAGCTGAAGGTTTCTCTCAGAGGGTGATGTCCTCTTCCAGATGGCCTTTACTGACCACGGACCAAGTCCCCTTTTGCTTAGGGAAGACAGAGTCATCACCTCTTCTAACACCAGGGGTCCTCGATGTATTTATGGAAAGAGGCTGTGTCTGCCCCAGACTGAGACCTTCATGTGGGAAGAGCAGACCTATGCAAGATGCCCCAAGATGCTGCTTCTGCTCAGCTGCTGGGAAGAGGGGAACATGCCCAAAAGCTGAAGCGGATCTCAGAGGTGGGGACACTGATGTGAGCGTTAGGCTGCTGGAGGGGCTGCTCCAGGCTGGGAGGCCCACCTTGAGGATGTAGTTGCCGGGTTGCACATCAGTTATGTCAATCCACTGGCAGTCGATGTCCGCGTTGTAAGTGTCATAGCAGCCTGGGCTCAGGCCCTGAGAACAGAGTAGACGGTGAGGTACTATATACTCCTCAGAGGGCCTCATGACCACTCCAGCCATGGGCCCTCCTTCCTTTGTGCTTTGCCCTGACCCTGGTCTAAGGCAACTGCTGAGAGTGGGTCTGCTCCTCCTTTATCCCACAGGGAGGATGGACCAGAGAGATAATAAATATAAGTACAGGATTATAGGGATCAAATGAAGAAGGGTATGGATGGAGGATAGATGGGCACTTTGTGGTGTTTGGGCAGACAGACAGAAAGACAGAGCTGGGTAGACAAATAGGCAACTGGAACATCATGCCATCCTACTCTGTTGGAATGTTTTATTCTTTCCATGAGTAGACACTCTGGGAATGATGTAGGAAAGGGTCTGGTTGGGGGAGAGGAGAGAGTCCCCAAGGGGCCCTGTGGTGTTCCAAGGACTGGAAAGAAGACCCCCCCATTCTGTTGAGCTGAGTGGCCAGGGGCCTTGGCACTGGCCCTTCAGCTTGGCTCAGGCTGCTTTACTGTCTGTTCCTCCAGCTCCCAGGTTGCGACTGCATCCTGTACCCTACGCCCCTGCCCTGCATCTCTAGCACAACCTGTGTATGTGAGGTGCATGCGTAGCGCTTGAGGTTGCCGAAGTCACAGGTGCTATCCTCCAGGCAGAAGCTGGCCTTGTGGCCCTCGGCTACCTTCATGCCTGTGGCTGCATCCAACAGGTCGTAGTGGCTGAACTCGTCCATGCTGTGGTAGTGTCTGGAGGCACAGGGCAGGAGAACAGAGAAGGCCTAGTCACCCTGGTGCTTCCCATCCCATCCCCCTCCTGAGATGGGCCCAAGTGATCCTGCTGTGACACAGCTTCTTGACCCATCTGGGCTCCTGCCCTCCTGTGTCCCACAGGGCAGCATCTCTCCTGTCCTCAACTAGCCAGGTCACTCTAGGAGAGTACCCCTTCAGAAAACCTCACTTACTTCTGTGCAGCTACTCCCTTGGGCAAATGCCCTTTATTGTAGACATTTCCATCCCTTAAAGATAGATTCTTCCAAGTCCCCTCTTCCAACTTTTGTTAAGGCTCCTTTGAGAAACTCTTGCCCCAGTGATGGATTCTTGGCAGAAAACACCTCATGGGCCCTCCTACCAGCACCTCCCCCCACCCCCTAACACTAATGGAGGAGGGGAGCTGGGGCAAGTCCTCCAGCCCAGAGGAGGGTGGGAAAGGCCATTGACCCCACTCACTGGTGGCAGCTGTGCCACTCCCAAGTGTGCCGCGGCCGGTTCGGGAGGAAATCCGCTGTGCCCTGGTTCTTCACACGCTGGGGGAAGCGCAGCAGCACCCGCACATCATAGTCAGTGGCCTCCGGGGCATAGGCTGTGCTGCAAAGACAGGTGGGAATCCAGGAGTAGGATTGGGAACAGGGCACTGAACCCAGAACTTGTCCCTGATGATCGTAATATCTGACCCCTGCATTTCGGGAAGGCTCAGGAGGCAGACGATCAATGATTCTCTCTCTCTCTCTCCCTCTGCTTTCCTCTCTCTGAAATCAATACAAACATATTTTTAAAAAACAATAAAAATGGGCCTATCCAGGAGGTTCTGAGCAGAGTCATAATTGGACTAGTGTGTCACATCTTGTGTGTGGTTCTAAGAATCAGGTTCAGTCTCTTCAATGTCAAAGCCTCTTCACTTTCTTAGTCCTGTCTTCTACTCCCCACACACTGGTTCCAGCTTCAAACACTGTTTCTCAAACAGACTTAATTCTTTCGTTAATCTATACTTTCGCCCATGCTGTTTGCTTAAGAACTCGCTCAGCCTCCTAGGCCAGTGTTGGGCAAACTGTGGCTCACGAGCCACATTCGGCTCTTTGGCTCTTGAGTGTTCTAATGCTGCTTCTTCAAAACAGACTCGCCCAGGCTGAAAACTGATTTCTGCGCATGGGCCACAAAGTTTCAATCACACTGTACCTGCACACCCGCATGTAGCATTTTGTGGAAGAGCCACACTCAAGGGGCCAAAGAGCTGCATGTGGTTCGAGAGCTGCGGTTTGCTGACCACTGTCTTAGGCCAACTCAATTCCCCTCCCTAAGAAATTCTGCTCTGATTGCTCCACTTGAAGGAATTGTGACTGCTAATGAGTTCTAATAGTGATCCACACTCTCCCCAGGCTAGGTCCATGTCACTAGGTCACCTCTACCTGATTGTATGGTTTCACCGACCTGCCTTTTTCTGTTCAGAAGATATGGCTCTGGTTCAGTCTGCCAACTCCCAATTCACTTATGACCCCAATTCCCAACTGAGATAGCTGTCCTGGTTGTCCTCAGGAGCACTTCTCTGACATTCATTAAGGTCTGGGCCTTAAGTCCAGGGGCAGAAGGTGGCCATTTGTGGGGATTAGCTCTTTCTGAGAGGATGTCTGGACAATAGGCACTGCAGGCTCCTCTCTGCCAGGACATAAGGTCCTGGGTCTTGTCTGGAGGATGCTTGCAATCCATCTGTGTCTGGGTTGGAACAGACATCCTCCTTCCCCCTGCTGTGTTCAATACCATCCTTCTGTTCCACTCAGCACAACATTGGAAACCATCAAGGTTCTAGGCCCAGCTAGGCCACAAACTTGTGGTGAGATTTGGAACAAGTCCCTTCCCTTGTTTGGGTCCTGCTGGCCATATGTGCTCTGGCACCTGCAGCCCACACTTCAATGATATCTGAGTGCTCTGTGTTTCAGGGCTTTAGTTTTGCCTAGTTTTCTATGTCTGTACTCTGCATCCAACTTCCATTGATGCCTCAGTCATTGCTGACCTCGCCCAGCTAACTCCAGCCTGCACACTGCTCATGCTAGCTCTCCTCCCTCTCCCAGGTGCCTGGTTCTGTCCTTGGGGCATGTCTCTCTGGCAGGACCAGGACATCCCTGGCAGGACTGTGCCCGGTTGCCTCCTGTCCAGCCCATGCAGGAACTCAGGTCTGGACACAGGGGATGCTCCAATGAAGATAGTTGGATTTTGGCTCAAGCTCCTCAAAACTCAGCCTATGCCTATGGATTGCCACGGAGGCTGAATTACTCACTGCTGAAGGAACCATAGCAGGAGCATCATCACTGTGTTCTTTCCATGGACAACTGAATGGTACTCAAGGTGTAGTCCCAGGATTGTTGCTAATTCACACACTCTTTGTTGCCAGTTTGTAATGAGATAAGGAACTTGCACCAGCATGTAAATCAATTATATTACTAATCACAATGTTTAGTTAAGCTGATAGTGACTTTTTTGAAGCCAGATTTTCTTGATGAATGAAGCAGTGAGTTGAGCTACATCCTGGTATAATCTACTTATATTGTCACAGAGATAACAGATGTGGTCAGCTATTCTGAGTGGCAGCGGACTAGAAGTTCCATAGTGAGAAAAAGTTTAGATTCCAAAGGGCTTTCCAGATACTAAAAAAATAAATAAATAAAAGTAAACAAAGAGTTCAAATGTCTAAACAAAGCAGATAATTAAGAAAACTAGGTGCTTCCAGAATAGAGAAATGTCAACAAAAGAGGTAGGTCAATGTAATATTGAACTAGTTATTTAGCACAGGGAGATGTCCCCAAGGCGTACATATTTGAATAAAATATTTACTGTTTATGAAGTTAGAAGCTAGCTCTGTAGGAAGTAGAATCACCTGGGAACAATGGAGAGTTGGCTGTGCTCGCCTTTGGGGTCATGTAAACTGGTCTCTTTTCCCTCTCTGGTGCCACACATAATTGAGGCCTCTTTGTCACCCATGCCCACTATCACTGCTGTATCCCAGGTCCTGGGTCTCCCTGAGGACTTCCCAGATCCTCGTAGAAGCACTGGGAACCTGGACCCTTCTTATAAGGCAGCTTAGAAAGGAAAAGTTTTAGTTCCTATCATTGCACCTCAGTTTCCTGCCCTGCTCAACACATATCTTCAGGGCTGATATGAAGATTAAAAGCCACAGTAAAAGGAAGCTTCTTTGTATAGTGACAATTGCTGGATAAAAGATTGCTCCCTTCCCCTCCTGACTCCCTTGTAGCAGGCAAATCTCATAGATGGTGAGGACCAGTCCTGAGAAGCTCAGACACTTGGCCAGTCAGGCACTTGGACATTGGCAGCCTCGCATGCAAGTTCTGGGTGACTCCTAGGGGTTGTCCGAATGCTCCAAGCTTCATCCTCAGCTCCTTACCTGGCCAAGCACTTCTCCTCTGCTGCACAGCGCAGGGAGTATAGGTGGGCTCTCTGGACATAGGTGGACGCTTGCACATAGTTGGGGTCTGGGACCAAGTCAGGGAGACCTGGGAATGAGCAGTGGGAGAAAGGGAGGAGGGAAGAAGAGCATGACATTAAGAGTCAGGCTGGCCATGGTTAATGCCCAGAGACCTCCCCAGCCCCAAACACCCTTTGTCATTCTTCTTCCTCTACACAGGCCTCCCAGCCTGGGTGAGGTGTGGGATGTGAGCCCTTCTCCCTAGGTTCAGGTGTGGGTCAGTGAAGTCAGGGAGCAGGAGCTCACCTCTGGAGCTCTGTGCTGTGGGAGTGCTGAGACCTGCTAGCAGAGCTGGGACATGAGTAAGAGCAAGGGGACAGGGCAGAATGTGGAGAGCCAGAAAAGAGGGAAGGGTATTCTTGGTAAGTGGGGACAGCATGGACAATACCTAGAGGCAAGACTGCATGAACCAAGTAATTTCCTGACAGAGACACCTTCCTCCATGTCCTTATTCCCCAGGTCTCTGCATCAGCCTCCAGACACCCTCTGCTCCTCTTGCCTAGCTTTTTTCATAAACCACCAAGATAACTCTGGGCTTTTGGCCCCAAATGAGTCCCAGCAGTCTTGTGAGAAAGCCAGGTGAATGTTGGGTGGCAGAAGTAGGGGTGGGCAGGAAGGGATGGGCTAGAAGGAAAACATATCCACAGAGCAGGCTGCTGACCAGGCAGGGTTCTCAGCCTGAGCACCCAGCCCCACTCCTTTCTTCCAGTCATCTTCCCCCAGACAGGACCACACCCTCCTTCCCCTGCCTGCAGCTTCTGGCCTCCAACCTGAGGGCACCTGGCTTCTTCTCCTGGAGATCTCAGGAGAAGTATGGAGTCTTCTACACCCCTGTGATCACTTGCTCTCAGGATATGCCAGGATCTGTCCATCTGACCTTCCTTCCTCCTTAACACTCCCAAGAATAAGGTATTCCCACTAAGGCTTTTAAGAATTAAAACTCCAGACCCCATCTGCATGAAATAAATCTTGATGCTGGGAGTGTGGGAGTGGTGGGGCATGGGGTATGGTGGGAGGTGGGCAGGGGGATTCCAGAGCCCTGGGCCCCTGCTGGGTCACTGACTTACAGAAAAGTGAGCCTGGGCCTCTATATCCTCTCCCCTCTTAGGCTTCGGGGATTCTGGCAGATAAAGATGAAACAAGGTTGTAAGCCCTCTGCTCTTGGGAGACAAGCAAGGCAGGGGGACTTCTGTCCTGTGTACGGCTTCCAGCTCACTCTTCTGGCTACCAAAACCCTCTTGTTAGCTTTTAGGCTTAGAAAATGAGGCAGAAGAGGGCACTCTGGCTTCTAAGCCTTTCACAGAGGTGTCTTCCTACAAACCATCCCTCACATGTCCCCTGGGGTCCCAGACAGTACCCCTGCCTGACCTGGGGCCCCAGCCTCATGTGGGGACCAAGTCCAGGCAGCCAGTGTGACCTCACCTCCTTGGAATGAAGAGAAGTCTTGGAGCACTGGGGTGGGTGAGGATGAGGTGGCTCCTGGCTGATGGAGCCATCTTGGCAAGCCTAGTTCCCATTACTCAAGCCCCCAGGAATGCCTGCAGTCATTTTCCAAGGGCTCCTCAGGCCTTCAAAGCAAGGGGATACCTTGGTGTCTAGCTGGTTCTCACCCACTGGTTCCTAAAAGCCTCTGAGGGAGAAGTGAGGAAAATAGGAATCACTCCCTATCCTTCAGCAACATGTGAGGGTGGTCAGCCAGGCTTGAAGCCTCATGAGATCCAGCATTTGGCCCTAGAAGCTGCCTCCCCCATCGCAGGCTCGGTTTCAATAAACACTGCACAGATGGCTCCACAAAGCATTTCTGGCCTGGCCCTTCCTCTCTAGGCCAGTCCATGAGCCAACTGTGCAGTCCAGGGAAGTTAGAAGAGCCTGTTGAGTAAGAGGCTAGGGGTATTCAGGGCCAATGAAGGTTAGTGCCATTACAGACCTCTGACTCTTGCCTGACTCTGGCCCTTTATTGAGCCCTGATCCTAACCACATACTGAGGTCTGATACCTATCAACAACTCTGAACCTCAGACTCATTGCTGTTTGTCTCCAGACTGTAGACTAAAGCATGGTACTTAAAAAAACAAAACAGACCACACCTTAAAATGAGTCACTTTGACATCAACAATCCTTTTTATTGTAGCTGAATGTGGTCAAGTTTTTAAAATAACCTCCAGAGCCATGGCTGGGTCGAGTGTGTATGTGTATGTGTATGTGTGTGTGTGTGTGTGGGGGGGGGGGGGGGTTGGAGTACTACATGTGGGCAGACACCTCTGAGTTGCTGGTTACAATCTGAACCCTGACCCTGGCCATAGATGATCTTCCTCTTTTTGTTGAGAAATCTCAGGTTCAGGTGGATGCTTCTTGCTTCCATTGGCAGGGAAGACCCACCATACATCCCACACTCCTATCCCCATGTTGCGGGGCCTCACCCCAAGGGCCTCTGTCAGGTGAGATTCTTTAATGATTAGCAGAATAATAAAGTCATCCCTCAGTATCCAAGGAGTATGGGTTCCCAGGACCACCCCCAAGGATACCAAAATCTGCAAATGTTCAAGTCCCTTAGTCAGCCTTCTTATCTTCCAGTTCCCATTCTCCAGATGCAGAGAGCCCACTACACTTTACTGTTCCATCATCCACAAGCATGATCCTCACCCTGTTCCCCACAAGATACCAGGGCACATGGAAGTGCTGGAGGGAACTGAGGCTCAGAAAAGGCAATGAATTTACCAAAGTCACACAGGGATTTGGGGCAGCTCCAGGAGATCCTGGGTCCTAAACCACCCCCCTCTCCCCCCCAGAACTCTTGTCATTCTTTAAAAAAAAAAAGAACATTTTTGAAATTTCATCTACACATTAAAATGTACAGATTTTAGGTCACAGTCTGACAGATTTTGACAAATGCAAATATCACCACAGTCAAGCTATGGATTTGAGAAGGGTTTGGGATATTTTATTCAGAATGTATGGAGTAACCCAGCCCTTGGATGTGGCACTGGAGACCCTATTAAGTGGGTTCCAACGAGAACTTTTTGTGGAGACTCCTGTTTTTATAAGTGCAGAAAGTGGAATTAATCATAATTCTCATTTCAGAGCAAACTAACTATTTTTTAAAATTTATTTTATTAATTTTTTTTGCCCCCCTCCCTCCCTCCCATACATACCCTCCCTCCCCAGAGTTTTATGTCCATTGGTTGTACTTATATGCATGTACACAAGTCCTTCGGTTGATCTATTATCTCCCCCAGATCTTCCTCCCCTCCCCACTGTAATCTGACAGTCTGCCTGTTGCTTTACTGTCTCTATATCTGTCTCTTGGTTCATCAATTTATAATGTTCTTTATCATCCACAAATGAGTGAGGTCATGTGGTGTTTCTCTTTCATTCATTGGCTTATTTCACTCAGCATGATGTTCTCCAATTCCATCCAGGTTGCGGCAAATGATGAGAATTCCTTTTTTATGGCAGCATAGTATTCCATTGTGTAGATGTACCATGGTTTTTGGATCCAATCATCTGCTGACGGGCACCTAGGCTGTTTCCAGATTCTAGCTATTGTAGATTGTACTGCTATGAACATAGGGGTGCATATATCCTTTCTGATTGGTGTTTCTAGTTTCTTGGGATATATTCCTAGAAGTGGGATTACTGGGTCAAATGGGAGTTCCATTTTCAGTTTTTTGAGGAAACTCCACACTGGTGTTGGGAAATTTGGACAGACACATGCAAAAGAATGAAACTAGATCACCAACTTACACCATTCACAAAAATAAACTCAAAATGGATACAGGACTTAAACATCAGATAGGAAACCATAAAAATACTAGAAGCATCCACAGGCAGCAAAATCTCAGACGTATGCCAAAAGAACTTCTTCACTGATACTGCCCCTAGGGCAATGGAAGCTAAAGAGAAAATAAACAAATGGGACTATATCAAAATAAAAAGCTTTTTTACAGCAAAAGAAACCATCAACAAAACAACAAGAAAGCCCACGGTGTGGGAGAACATATTTGCAAATAATACCACTGATAAAGGTTTAATCTCCAACATTTACAGACAGCTTATACAAATAAATAAAAGGAAGATGAATAATCCAATTACAAATGGGCAATGGACCTAAATAGAATATTTTCAAAAGAAGACAGAAGGAAGGCCAAAAGGCACATGAAAACATGCTCAAAGTCACTAATTGTCCGAGAGGTGCAAATCAAAACAACAATGCGGTACCATCTCACTCCTGTCAGAATGGCCAACATCAACAAATCAACAAACGACAAGTGTTGGCGAGGTTGCGGAGAAAAAGGAACCCTCGTGCACTGCTGGTGGGAATGCAGACTGGTGCAACCACTGTGCAAACTAACTATTATCATTGGTCTATGCAAGGCTCAGTAATAATTGTAATAAAAATTTTTAACCTTCATTCTGAGCCCTGACACTTAGATATGTCCTGGAATATTTGTGTCTCTGGAAAATCTGCAGTGCTTATGTATTCTTAAAATATATAATTGATATTGTCTTATCATCTCATTCTGATTCTTGAGTTTTCAGCCAATGCAAACTTTTAAGATCTATGTAGTTCATTGCTTGTCATTGTCAAATAAGACTCTGCAGTATGCATCCTCCACTCCATGGCCAAGCTAGATGGTAGACCCACAGGGATGGGGCTAACCACCCAAAGGATGGCCTTGCTCAGGCTACCCAGGGAGGCCTTGGTCATCATCAGCATCTGGTCCTCTGCTCTCAGCAGGTAGACAAGAGCCTGGCTTTTATCCTACTCTGTCACAGATGTTCTGTGTGACCCTGGGCAGGCTTGGGCCCACTCCAGGCCTGATTGCCTCTGTTTCTTTAGATCTAATTGTCTTCTATTCTACTCATGGCCTGGAGCCCTGGGCTGGGCCCCTGTGGGCACTCTTCCATGCTGACCATGGGGTCATGCACTTAGGAATTCAGGCCGCTTAGAGCCTAGCCCAGAGTGGGGAACATTGAGTCAAAGGGCAGCAAAGGCCCCTGGGATGGACAAAGCCAGGCTGCTTGGCTA